CTAAAGAGGCCAGTTTGAAAAGGCTACATACTTATGATCCCAAGTACATGACATTGTGGAAAAGGCAAATCAAAGAAGATAGTAAAAAGAGCTATTGTCACCAACGTTTTGAGGGTTTTGCACAGGAAATGCTTAAGCAGTGAAATTATGGCATATCATGTATAATGATGGATACATATCATTACACACTTGTCCAGATATATAGACTATACAGTATCAACCATCAGCAATGAACACTAATATAAACAATGGAACTTGCATGATTATGAAGTTTCCATGTACATTCACCCACTGTAATAAGTGTACATCTCTTAGCAGGGACGTTGACAGTGAGGGAAGCTGTTCATGCATGGGAGTAAGAGGTACATGTGACATCACTGCACCTTCTGCTCACTTAGTCTGTGAAACCACAACTACTCCAAAAATCAAAGTCTACTTAAAAACATTTAAAATGGTAAATGATACATTCTGGGTAGTTTGGCACCATTAAATTTTGCAATCAAAAATAATTTTTAAAATTTCAAATATAAAATCTACAATTTTAAAGAAATATTCATGGTGTGCTCTCACATCATTATATAAGTTGAATAAAAATTCTTGTTTTGATCACAATTTGAGTAACTGATTAACAATGGCAATGATTCAAAACAAAAATGAGCTAAAGAGTGTCTTTTAAATTGCAGTATTCATTATAAAATAAAATGTTTATGAATGCAGTTAAATCTATACTTGTTCCTTTGGTCCTCGAACAGATTTGATGTAACTGATATCATATTTCCTTGGTTTTAAATATGCATAGTATTTTTGATGTTGCCAATTTCCCAAAGAATAGCAAATGTTGCCTTTTACTCAATAGCTTTGATTGTGTGCATTAGATCCTAAGCAGTTCTTCCTATAGCATCTATTAAGTATGTTGACACATGCAATGCCCCAGCATGGCCAGGCCATCCCCTGGGATGTCCTAACTAAGAAGGACATAATTTTTAAAAAGCAACATGTAAATTATTTTTAATATGAAAAGTGAAATACTAACTATAGTGGAAATTTGTAAGAGAATTGAAATTGGGTGTGTTTATATCTAGTGTTGACTTTTAAGAATGCCTGTGTCTTTTCCAGTTCTGAATTCTTAAAAAAGAACAAGTATTTGAATATTCTTGTGTGTGTGTGTGTGTGTGTGTGCTAGTGTATGGCCATTTGTGTCTGTGTGCATATGAGTGTGTATCATGAGGACATGCTGTTTTATTACAAATCCAGGTATTCAAGGCATGATTTTTACCAGATACCTTATTCTGCAGAAAGTATGATGTTATTGATGGTTGTTGAATTAAATCAACTGATGCACTGTTACTGAGTGAATTGCTTATCCTCATACACAAAGCAAAAGAAAATAAAAGCAAAAATACATCCTCTTCATCTCACTTCTTTTCCTCATATACTCATTCACTGACAAGCTAATAAATGTGCACATAAAGCTACACCATTACAAAATTTTAAATACTATTTTATGGTCTCTTCTGAAGGCTCATTTTTCCCTTTGCTTTCTGAATAATGGGAGCACTATATGAGCTACATAAAACTCACATGAAGTAGGAATATTTCAAATTAACTATAATGGTGACCTTTTTTTTTTCAAGTAATATTAAGCATCATTGGGAAACTCTAGACAACGTTTCATTTTAATTTCTCTCTCTAAATGAAGCTCCCCAACAGCATTTCTAGAATATTATCCATAAATGCCGTGGTCAGTTAGAAGAAACGGCGTACAATGGCTTTGTTCCATGGGAAGTAGGTGCCAGGAGGAGGAAGGGAAGCTTTTTAGCCAAAGTCTGAAAACTTATGCCAGGTTGAGGCATGGGACAGAATCATAATTAATGAGTGCTAACAGCACAAAGTGTGCTTCCAGTATAAAGTCCAAATAACAAAGAAAGGAAGAATGTTTGTGGATGGGTTAGAAATACGAAGATACTTTTAAAAGTTCATGGAAAGTGGCATTAGAAGATAACTTGATCTGTATGCAAACTGCTTTGATATCAATGCATAGTTTTCAAAGTATGTGTTTTTCACATTCTTTTTGAAGACCCCTCTAATTAATGGATTTCAAATTTTTTGGCACCAATACCACCATTGAGTCCTCGTGGATAAAACTGTGCCTATGACGCCAACAGCCCATATGGGTGTCTGTTGGAGTCCCAGCTGCTCCACTTCTGACCCAGCTCCCCACTAAAGGCCTAGGGAAAGCAGCAGAGGATGGACCAAATGCTTAGGCTTCTGCCAACCACTTGGGAGACCTGGAAGAAGCTCCTGGCTCCTGGGTTTGGCCTGGCCCAGCTCTGGCCATTAGGGCCATCTTGGGAGTGTACCAGCAGATGGAAGGTCTCTCCCTCTCTTCCCTTCTCTCTCTGTAACTATGACTTTCAAATACAGAAAGAAATCCTTTTTAAAAATATTTTAGCACAAAAATCATCTTCTAATTTAGTTTTCCAATAATGTTTTGAAGTTATTGATTCATAGTTGAAAAATGAGAGGTGAGGTGAACAGTTGGTAGGTGATAAGTTGACAGATTCAGAATTAATCCCAGAGATAGAGACACAAGGAGAGTTGAGAGTGCAGGGCTCTGGGAAGCGATTGTCCTGTTTAAACAGGTCTTCAATTCCTTTGCTAAAATGAGCTGACATGTGTAATGCTGTCTTAGTAGACAAATATTAACAGTTTACATACCACTGCTACTAGTTCAGTGAACATGTACACATTCAAGCACTGTACTGTATAGTTCATCTTGAATCCTTACAACAGTAGTGGGAGAAATGTACAACTGCTATCATTTTACAAAGAATGAAGCAGAAGTTTAGACATTACAAATCCTGCACAGGCCATATAGCTAATAAGTGTCCCATGTCAGGATTTGAACTCTGGTACCTCTGACTCTAGCCTCTAAAATTGTTGATCTTCTCTCCAAAATTCATAGGTTGAAATTTTTTTAGAGATTTATTTATCTATTTATTTGAAAGTCAGAGCTGCAGAGAAAAAGGGAGAGACAGAAAAACAGATCCCCCATCCACTGGTTCACTCTCCAGATGGCTGCAATGTCCAGGGCTAAGCCAAGCCAAAGCCAGGAGCTTCATCTGGGTCTCCCACATGGGTGGCAGAGGTCCAAACACTGGGGTCATCCTCCTGGTGCAGGACAGCATTCTGCCTAGCCTTGGACTAACCCAGTTATTCCTCCATTTCTTATTGGTTATTCTCAATAATATCTGTACAATGTGCTGGGAATAGAACATCCTGAGATAGGAAGGAACTGCCTGAAACAGCCCAGTACTTGTTCCTGTTCCTTGCAGAGAAAGGCAAATCTTCAGATAGGGAGAACTTCCCAGGACAGCCTGGGTTTTGTTCATTCCTTTTGTTTGATCCTTCAAAGCTTTGCTCAATGAGTCACATGGTCTCTGATATCAACTTGGGAAGGCTGCTTTCAAGGTCCCTAAACGTGGTAAAAATGGGCTCCTTCCACATCAGGCAGCTTCCTTTAATCACAAGGGGCCAGATAACAGTGGATCCAAGACTTCTACCCCTTGATGACTATCTGGATAAAAAACACTCTTTGTATAATGTGTGTGAGGGTGCTCTGTCTCATTAGAGTCAGATATACAGAAACCAGTGCATGGTGGACTTAAACAGCAACCAGGAAAGAGAGGGCCTAAGCACATGGACTTCTGGTTTTGGCAGCTGGCATGGTGCTAATGTTTGCTAGTTTCCATGCAGCAGGAGTCCTGTCTTGGGATTGATAATTAGGGTGTCTGCTTCACCTGTGATAGATTTTATAGCAGCCAAAATGGATAAGACAGCAACTTTCTTGCTTTCTACTTATCAAATGACAATAGCATCCCTCCCAGTCCTAACAATTAAAAATGTCTCCAGACATTGCAAAAATGTTCCCTGGAGAACAAAATCCCTCTTAGTTGAGTGCCACTTCATGAGGTCACTGCCGGAAAGCCATGGAGAATGAAAAGCATGCTCAGGAACCTCTGAGAAAAAGGCATTGGTTTCTAAGAAAAAACAGACACTCATAAATATCGAAACTGTTTGCAGGGATAGCCAAGGCCAGTGAGTTCACCGGAGTGCTTCACCCTCATCGACAGTTGGAAGTTGCAGAGTTCTGCTTCTGTCTGCCAGCCTCAGGAGCTGACGTTTGAGAGCCTGTGGTTCTCTGAAGAAATACATTGACCTGCTTTCTTCAAATCCTGAATTAATCATGGAAGAACAAAGAAATGCCCAAACATGTACCATGTGCCTGGACTTACTGCCCCATGACCTTTTCACAATAAATCATTATCATGGCCTCCATCTTGCTCAGCTTCTCACAGAAGCACATCCTGAAATAAAGGATTTGAGTGCCAGGAGTTTATGTAGAACATGGTCCTGAGAGCTAGCAATGAAAGCTCTGTTGGTGAGAAGGGCAAGCGTATAAGAGGAATCAATTGTCAATGACTTGTCATGTTATCAATTTAGTAACTCTGATAGGTAACCGGAGTTTAATCTCACTGGTGAATTCTGAGAGTCTGTGAGGGTCACGTGTTCCATAGTTATGCCAAAGGAGGGCAAGAAAGCCAGGGAATTTACACAACAATGCTAGTCAGCTGTGGATGGAGGGCTCCTTAAGGTGGTCCATGGCTTAACACACCTCAGCACTTGCAATTTGCCCTAGATAAGCAGAACAGTCTATGGCAGTTAGTTGGAGTCATTCTAATGGAAGAGTACAAGGAAATGGTGGCAAGGTACATAGGGTCAGCCAGAGTAACCAATAGTACAGTAGGTATGCACTAGTTTATCCATTTGTAAACCTCTAAGTATCCATCATGGATATGGGTACTTGGCATAGAGGTTAAGAATCTATGACATCAGGCAGACTTGAATGCAAATTTTTTAAAGATTTATTTATTTGAAAGTTAGAGTTACACAGGAGCAGAAAACAGAAAGAGAGATAGAGAGAGAGAGAGAGGTCTTCCATCTGCTGGTTCACTCCTCAATTGGCAGCAACGGCCGGAGCTGTGCTAATCCGAAGCCAGGAGCCTGGAGCTTCTTCTGGGTCTCCCACGCAGGTTCGGGGGTCCAAAGACTTAGGTCATCTTCTACTGCATTCATAGACCACAGCTGAGAGCTGGATCAGAAATGGAGCAGTCAGGACTAGAACCGGCACCCATATGGGATGCTGGCACTGCAGGCATCAGCTTTACCAGCTACGCTTCAGTGTCGACCCCAGATGCAAATCTTAGCTCCAAAGCACTCTCCCTAGTATTTGGTATATACTGAGCATTCTCTAAGTATAGTTAGGGAGCTAAATTGTCAAACAATTTTGAAGGAGTCAACAGGATTGAAAGGAAAGAATAGACACAGATCATTGTTTTCTGACTCATTCATCTCACTCATCATCTACTCTGAACAAGTTAGTTCTCTTTTGAATGAATGTGCTTCCCGCGAATGACCTTCATCACTTAATCATGACAAGTTCTAGGGTGGGAATTGTTAACACACTAATTTTACAGAGGAGAAAATTAAGGCTCAGAATATTTAGCAAAACCACACATACTACTAAATGTTGAGAGCATAAACATATAGGGGACCCAACCCCACAGTGGTCATGTGCTCTTATTGATCCCAATGCCCTTCCTCCTGATGATGGAGCTAGGGCACATGCAGTGCATTGAATTATTTCATATGAATAAATGATATCTGGGGAGAACTTGTAGCATCAAATATTGTAGGCAAGAACCACAGTGAACATCTTGTTCCACAAAGAAAAGAAGCAGGTAGCATTTGTCTCTGGAGAAAGCTATATATAGGATCAAGATGATATAATGGCTCTCAAAGTCAAGAAAAAGGAAATGACAACATTTAAGATAGAGGCTTAAAGAACTAAACAGAGGGGGTTTTTTGGCAAAATTGCTTTATAAATATGTTAAAGTATGTGTCAAGTAGCAGACTTGAGGACTTGCTCTCCAGGAAGCACCAGAACTCTTGAGAAGGAAGAAAATATCCAATATGCACAAATCTAAGGTGCAAAGAGATTCAGGATGTCAGAGTAGATGAAGATTGTCAATTAAAAATCAAGGAGCCAGGAAGGAACGTCACAAATAAAACCCAGGAAAATCATTACTTTTAGACTGGAAAAACTCAGTGGAAAAATATGGATATCTATGAACCACCTGTACTGTCCACGGGTACTCTCCGACACTTTCTCCTACAGAAAAGCATGGACTTTGCATCTGAAGAAAAGAAAAAACGAGAAAACTCAGGTTAGACTTTATTTATATCTCCTGTCCTCTAATGAGTTCAAGTACACATCAAGCTCCGGGAACAGAGAATCCATGGGTGCCCAAATTAATGCTTAATAGCAGCCCTCTACAGAATATTTAAATAAAATTTAAATAACATTTAAGTGGCTTTCAAAAATGTAAACTGTCGGCTAACAAGCAACAAGGCAGGTCTGGTCTTTAAGGACTTCTCAGAAATAATCAGGCTTCAGATGTCTGTTTGAGCCACCATATTTTGACAAAATGTCAAAAGGAGTCAAATTATACATCAGCATTCCCTGCCCCCTCGCCCCTAGCCCCACAGGCGTCCACTGAGCTGCCTTTGCTTTTCCCACTGGCATTTTGCCAGAGTTTTTGATCCTAGTTTTGTGACACTCAGGAGTCTCCAAGTACCTTACGGACTATCAGATTCCCATAATGAGATTAATTTTAGTTCACTTCAATTTAAAAAGCAAATATATGTCATACTGTACTTTCAGGAAGAGAAAATGACACCATGAAATTAAAGGTCTTTGCCTCCTGGCAAGCTGACAGTGCTGACCTTGGCTAGAAGTAGACAGTATTTTCTCCCGGGCATCTCTTCCCACTTCTTCCTCGTCAGCATCTCCTGCTCATGGGGTCTGTTGTAGTCTGCTGTCTTGTTCTCAGTGGCAAGGAACAGGACAGCCTGCATTTATGGAGCACAGCCACATGCCAGGCAAACCCTAAGAAAAGTGGTGCATCTCTGATCCTTAGTGACTCCGTAAGTCAAAAATTAAGCTTCTGTTTAACAGATGGGGAAAATCTTTTGCAGAAGTTAGGCAACTTGCCCAAAGAACTTGGGTAATAAATTATTTGGCTAAGAGTCAAAGATTTCTCTGTCTCCAAATCCCTTCTAATCAGGAGATAAAAATCCTTTTGTTGTTGTTTTACTTTTTTAGCCTTTGTCCTCTAAGATGCTTAATGAGACATTAGAGTCTACCTCCATAGTATGGCAAGGTGTGCTGATCTTTCCAGCAACACCAAATAGAAGGGATGAGAATTGAAGGTCTGAAATGAAAAAGCCAAAATCAGTGCTGATTGTGTAGGTGGAGGTGTTCTTTATGGCAACAGGCACACAGGAATGACACGAACTCTGAAACTGAGTAATCAATAAGCTAAAGAGCTATTAACCTGATGCTTTTAACACAGAAATCTCATAGTGTAGAAGTGGCAAAGTGTAAAAGCGCTAACAGAGTGAGAGGCAAGTGTAATTAGAGAAAGTAGCATTAAGCTGATTTACAAGAGAAAATTCAAGGGAAAAAAGGCAGACTTAGTAACACCAGCTCTTGATCGGTAAGTACCATATATCACATATACTGGGATCATTCATCATCTATCTATCAGAAATAGTATCAAATCAGGAGTGGGCCTTTGGCATAGTGGCTAAGATAGTGCTTATGGCAACTATATCCCATATCAGAGTACCTGAGTTCAAGTTCCAATTCTGCTCTTGATTCCAGCTTCCTGCTAATGTATACCCTGGGAGATAGCAGGTGATGGATCAAATAATTGGGTCCCTATTATCCACATGTAAGAACTGGATGGAATTTCCTGCTCCTGGCTTTGGCCTGGCCCAGCCCTGGCTATTGCCTGGGCATGGGGAGCAGGGTATAAACCAAGTAATAGTATATATCCTCTCTCTCTCTCTCTCTCTCTCTCTCTCTCACTTTCAGATCAATCATAATCAATTATATTTAAGAAAATGCATGCTATCAAATCATCCAATCTAGCTCTGGTAAGACTTAAATGAAGATATATTCAATTGCAGAATATATCATGACCCACGTGGTAATTGGAAAAGTGTCCACAAAATAAAATCAGTATTTACTAGTGATCAATTCTTTCATAATTGCTAACTTCAAGGACTCAATTAATAAGCAGTCAATTCCCTTGATCCATGTAATGTTCTTAATATTAGATTTTTATACATAAAAATCTTGTACTAGCAAAAAAGCTTAAATTTAATCCATCTTCTATTTTAAAAGGCAAAGGTTTGTATAATGTGCCTGTGAAAGATTTCCATTTTTATTACTGTTTACTTAATATTGACTTTTTAAAAGTTAGATTTCAGTCTAGAAGATGAACTTGGTGGCAACATTTTATTTGCAACTGTAAAGGACAGTCCTCAACTGTTGCTGAACAATATCTCTTATTCCTGCTCACATTTTCTCACATGAATAATCCTGGCCCTCCCAAATTAGAAGTGACACAGTCTCTGGATTCAATTCTTGAGTTCTGACCACAAATTCTTGCTTATGTACTCTGAGGTACCCTAGTGATGGCTTAAGTGAGTGGGTCCCTACCACTCACTTGGGAAACCAGATTGAGTTTCCAGCTTCCACATTTGACTTTAGCCCCAGACATTCTGAGCAATTGGGAAGTGAATGTGTGAATGAAAGCCAGGCTGTCCTCTCTACTCTCTCAAGAAAATTATTAATTCTCTTTAAAAAACATTACTCATGAGGACACAAATTTGGAAGTGAACAACACGGCTAAGATGCCATACACCAGACTCCATCTCCTGGAAAAGGCAATGGCAAGGTGAAGTCTCTATATGTCCAGTACCTGTATTCTAGGTAAACAGCAGTGGCAACAAAGAGCAGTAGCAACAGTTTTGACTAAAGCATCCCGCCTCTCTGCACTCCTAGCCACTTCTGCCTAGGCCCTCTCCTTCTGTGACTTGGCATTAGCTTCCTGGTCTGGTTCAGTTCTCCAAGAAATTCTAATTTTATACAGTTGTCTGTTTAAACTTAATGTACTTGTCTGCTTGATCTATGCAGTGTACATCCTCTTGTTTACAACAAAGACTCCTGACTGTACTAACACAGCCTCATAAAAGAGGAGCTATTGAATTAGCTTTTGAAGTACTGGAATACTGAAGAAGAATACCGGCTTAGGAAAACTTTACTCCTGGATATATATTGAGGGTTCATCTTTTTCTTATGATTTTAAACTCATAGAAAGAGTTTTAAAAGTCTTAAATGGCAGCCATAGTTTTTACACCCTTATTTTATGAAGATAAAAAAATCTGCAACTCAAAGAAGCCAAAAATGGCTTAACCAGAGGCAATACTATTACTAAAACACACAACACAGACTAAAACCCAGCACTCTTGATTAGGGTTCAAGGTGTTTTTCCTTTTCTTCTGCTTTGCTCAGACACAAGGCTCAGCTAGCTCGACCTTGGAATGTCCAATTCTGGGGTCCAATTGTTCAGAATGAAGAAAACAAAATTGAGTTTAATGTTCATGATGCGTATTCCTGATCCCTTGGCTAGCTTCCAATTAGTGCGTCACAAAATTGAAACATTAGGAAACCCATAATTTCTATCCAAGTGCCTTTATATTCACTGTAAAAGAGAAAAAAAAAAAACAACAAGGAAGTAAGAGAGTAGATGCAAAGAGTTTTAGCTTAGATCCATGTTACATTTATAGAGAGCTACACAGTTTTCATAGATCAGTAGGTCACTACAACCTATTGGAGACAATGGCACTATCTTCCACATTGATTGATAGGGACAATTCTATTCCATATCTGAGAGACCACATTGCATCGTGCTTAACAAATAGCTCAGGACCTCTATCAATAATTAATTATCTGAGCAAGTTCTTACTTAGTCTTTGTCATCCTGGTTTCTCTATTTGTAGATTGGGGCTAAAAAATTATTTAGCTCATAAAATTATTTATTAGAAACAACTATGAAGTGTCATATAGATAAATACAGTAAGTACTTCATAAGTACTAGACATGCTTAACAAATATATGTGTATAACATTTATCTTCTTAAGAGGTTCTAATCTCACATTGTTTTCACAAATATGATTCTATGATTTGCTGCTATGGTATTCAGCTAAATTCAGGCTAAAGATAGTCAGAGATCTCTAGTACACAAAATCTCTGGGGCCGGCACTGTGGCGCAGCAGGTTGAAGTCCTGGCCTGAAGCGCCAGCATCCCATATAGGCACAGCTTCTAGTCCTGGCTGCTCCACTTCCAATCCAGCTCTCTGCTATGGCCTGGGATAGCAGAGGAAGATGGCCCAAGTCCTTGGGCCCCTGCACCCACGTGGGAGACCAGGAAGAAGCTCCTGGCTCCTGGCTTCGGATCAGTGAAGCTCCGGCTGTTGCAGACATCTGAGTGAACCAGCAGATGGAAGACCTCTCTCTCTCTGTCTCTACCTCTTTCTGTAACTCTGTCTTTCAAATAAATAAAATAAATCTTTTAAAAAATAAAATAAAATAAAAAATATATACAAATTCTTTACAGATGCTATACCTACAATCAGAGGTTGCACTGCCAATTCAGAACAAGAAACTGGGGAAGAGGAAGGGGACTGGCTTAGATGGAGAAAAACGACACAAGCAATTTCAAACATTACTCATGAAAAACAAATTCAAGCTCTTAGATCCATTATATGGAAGAGGCCACAGTTGCATATAAATCTTTAATGTGACAGCAATAGTAAATATTACTTTACTTTAGATAGTTGTTTGGCACTGTATCCATATAGGACGGAGCCAAAATTGCCTCACTCTAGGTAAGATTTTGCCCTGAATCTGACATCGTTTGGATGTAATGCTAAATGTGTTCTAGTCTTTTCTTCCAGTCTGCAGACTACAATTTGGAGGCTTGCTGACGCTGCCTTCCTACTCCTCAGGGCTTTCTTTTTACCTTCCTCACAAAAGAAAACTTTCTCCCTGACTGCAGAAAAGAGCAAGTCAGGAACTTTACGAAAGATAGGTAGTCCTTTCCTTCACCAGGATAGAACTTACCCTACATGACAATAGAACTGCACTCAGTCTTCCACAGGTTTGTGCCGATGGATTCTAATCAGCTAGACACACATCCTTTTTTTGTGTAAGATTCACAGAGAAGAAGATGGTGCAGGATCTCTTATTAAGATACTGTCTATGTTTAACAATCTGCATCATTAG